ATCAATACCTTTGACAGTCTGGTGACATGTATCAATATCTGTGACAGTCTGGTGACATGTATCAATACATTTCAAAGTCTGATGAAATTTATCAAGTAATAAATAATTACAACACAGACACTGACTTGGATAGTCGAGTGTTTCTGTAAACATCCTTGATGATCTTGGAAAGTATATGAACAATATTAGTAGTTAGGAAAACCTGTATACATCTTTGACAGTCCCGTGTTAGGAAAAACCTGTATACATCTTTGACAGTCCCGTGTTAGGGAAAACCTGTATACATCTTTGACAGTCCCGTGTTAGGAAAAACCTGTATACATCTTTGACAGTCCCGTGTTAGGAAAAACCTGTATACATCTTTGACAGTCCCGTGTTAGGAAAAACCCGTGTTTCTCTAAATAAATGTGTAGTGTGGTAAAGTCTCTGCACAGTATTGAAACAGTGTAGAGGAATAGTCAGTCTGTTGATACCACTGGTAGGTCTGTGGAAAGTCTGTTGATACCACTGGTAGGCCTGTGTACAGTCTGTTGATACCACTGGTAGGTCTGTGTACAGTCTGTTGATACCACTGGTAGGCCTGTGTACAGTCTGTTGATACCACTGGTAGGTCTGTGTACAGTCCGCTGATACCACTGGTAGGTCTGTGGACAGTCTGTTGATACCACTGGTAGGTCTGTGTACAGTCTGCTGATACCACTGGTAGGTCTGTGTACAGTCTGTTGATACGACTGGTAGGCCTGTGTACAGTCTGCTGATACCACTGGTAGGTCTGTGTACAGTCTGTTGATACCACTGGTAGGTCTGTGTACAGTCTGTTGATACCACTGGTAGGCCTGTGTACAGTCTGTTGATACCACTGGTAGGTCTGTGTACAGTCCGCTGATACCTCTGGTAAGTCTGTGGACAGTCTGTTGATACCACTGGTAGGCCTGTGTACAGTCTGCTGATACCACTGGTAGGTCTGTGTACAGTCTGTTGATACCACTGGTAGGCCTGTGTACAGTCTGCTGATACCACTGGTAGGTCTGTGTACAGTCTGTTGATACCACTGGTAGGTCTGTGTACAGTCTGTTGATACCACTGGTAGGCCTGTGTACAGTCTGCTGATACCACTGGTAGGTCTGTGTACAGTCTGTTGATACCACTAGTAGGCCTGTGTACAGTCTGCTGATACCACTGGTAGGTCTGTGTACAGTCTGTTGATACCACTGGTAGGTCTGTGGACAGTCTGTTGATACCACTGGTAGGCCTGTGTACAGTCCGCTGATACCACTGGTAGGTCTGTGGACAGTCTGTTGATACCACTGGTAGGCCTGTGTACAGTCTGCTGATACAACTGGTAGGTCTGTGTACAGTCTGTTGATACCACTGGTAGGCCTGTGTACAGTCTGCTGATACCACTGGTAGGTCTGTGTACAGTCTGTTGATACCACTGGTAGGTCTGTGTACAGTCTGTTGATACCACTGGTAGGCCTGTGTACAGTCTGCTGATACCACTGGTAGGTCTGTGTACAGTCTGTTGATACCACTGGTAGGCCTGTGTACAGTCCGCTGATACCACTGGTAGGTCTGTGTACAGTCTGTTGATACCACTGGTAGGTCTGTGTACAGTCTGTTGATACCACTGGTAGGCCTGTGTACAGTCCGCTGATACCACTGGTAGGCCTGTGTACAGTCCGCTGATACCACTGGTAGGTCTGTGTACAGTCCGCTGATACCACTGGTAGGCCTGTGTACAGTCTGTTGATACCACTGGTAGGCCTGTGTACAGTCTGTTGATACCACTGGTAGGTCTGTGTACAGTCTGTTGATACCACTGGTAGGTCTGTGTACAGTCTGTTGATACCACTGGTAGGCCTGTGTACAGTCTGTTGATACCACTGGTAGGTCTGTGTACAGTCTGTTGATACCACTGGTAGGTCTGTGTACAGTCTGCTGATACCACTGGTAGGCCTGTGTACAGTCTGTTGATACCACTGGTAGGTCTGTGTACAGTCTGTTGATACCACTGGTAGGTCTGTGTACAGTCCGCTGATACCACTGGTAGGCCTGTGTACAGTCCGCTGATACCACTGGTAGGTCTGTGTACAGTCCGCTGATACCACTGGTAGGCCTGTGTACAGTCTGTTGATACCACTGGTAGGTCTGTGTACAGTCTGTTGATACCACTGGTAGGTCTGTGTACAGTCCGCTGATACCACTGGTAGGCCTGTGTACAGTCCGCTGATACCACTGGTAGGTCTGTGTACAGTCCGCTGATACCACTGGTAGGTCTGTGTACAGTCTTTTGATACCACTGGTAGGTCTGTGTACAGTCCGCTGATACCACTGGTAGGTCTGTGTACAGTCTGTTGATACCACTGGTAGGTCTGTGTACAGTCCGCTGATACTACTGGTAGGTCTGTGTACAGTCTGTTGATACCACTGGTAGGTCTGTGTACAGTCTGTTGATACCACTGGTAGGTCTGTGTACAGTCCGCTGATACTACTGGTAGGTCTGTGTACAGTCCGCTGATACCACTGGTAGGTCTGTGGACAGTCCGCTGATACCACTGGTAGGCCTGTGTACAGTCCGCTGATACCACTGGTAGGTCTGTGTACAGTCCGCTGATACCACTGGTAGGTCTGTGGACAGTCCGCTGATACCACTGGTAGGTCTGTGGACAGTCCGCTGATACCACTGGTAGGTCTGTGGACAGTCCGCTGATACCACTGGTAGGTCTGTGTACAGTCCGCTGATACCACTGGTAGGTCTGTGGACAGTCCGCTGATACCACTGGTAGGTCTGTGTACAGTCTGCTGATACCACTGGTAGGTCTGTGTACAGTCTGTTGATACCACTGGTAGGTCTGTGGACAGTCCGCTGATACCACTGGTAGGTCTGTGTACAGTTTGTTAAAACCTTAGTTAATTATTCGACAGATTGTTCTCGTTGCACATGGAACCATTCAGTCCATAAATGTTCGGATCCCCTCCTAGTAAATTTCACAACATGTAGCGGCTGACGACAACAGTTCTGTATTGGTTTCTTATTCTTGCTTGGCTTCCTGCATAGCACTCTTGTCTGGTCACACCCCTCTTAACATTCTGTTCTTGCAGTCTGGATATTGTTGAAGATTCACAGTCGTCAATTGGTTCTCCCAAAAGTCTTGCTTTTCTTAACGCATTCAGAATATCAGTCTCGTCCATGGCTCGTCCATCCTCCACAGTAGCTTTTCCTGCAAGCCGATTAGCTTGTTCATTTTCTTGTGGTCAGTGAGAAAGCAAAGGCGGGAAAAGAATGTGTCTCCAGCCATGCTTTGGTCACTGCCATGACCTCCATAGTTAGAGTACTTGTGGTCAATGCAACAGCACCAGAATCTTGCTTCACAATTCTAACTCCAGTCTGCGCTGTAAAAGCCCAAAAGCTAATCATATGGTCAATTACTGACCCGTCTGTGTAAATGACAGCCTTCCCCTTGTAGAGAATTTTCGAAAATCAAAGCCTGCACTTCTGCCTCTAAAGCGGCTGGACTTTCTTGTCTGCATTTTCTGTCTTGACCGATGTACACAGGAAAGGTGGTGCCACACTCTGTTGGTACTTGTACCTATTCCTCACCAGGTTCTGTGTCTCTAAGTGAACACACCTGTTGGTACTTGTACCTATTCCTCACCAGGTTCTGTGTCTCTAAGTGAACATACCTGTTGGTACTTGTACCTATTCCTCACCAGGTTCTATGTCTCTAAGTGAACATACCTGCTGAATAATGTCCTTGGCCTGACCCATCCACTATTGTTCTTTTTTTAACCTGCTGAATTTTTCTTCTTAATGTCACCATGCAACGGGTATCGTGTGTCTGTGTTGACTTTGAGGTAGACACCTGCTTGGCAAATTTGAATTCTGTCCTCGTTATTTGAAAAATCGAGAAGTAGCGCATCGCTCTGTAAGCGATATGTCTTGAACATCCAAGTATAATGCAGATGACCTGGTTCTGTATCCTTTCCATCCTCTCCGGTCATCTGGTCATCTGGTAATCTTAGTTTCAGCTTCATAGCACGGGTCACACCATAGTTGCTCCGCTCCTGTGCCAAATGAATGTTTATCACAGTCCCTTGTGTTTATCACAGTCCCTTGTGTTTATCACAGTACCTTGTGGAAAGACTGACAAACTGCTGTCTAGTATATGCACTAGCATACACACGCATTAAAAACATACGGTAGCCATCCGAAGTGCTCACACAAACAGTCCGACATTAGAAATGCAGTTCATCATGGATGGTAGCACTAGAAGAAGTCAACAACAGATCAACAGTTGCACAATCACATAACGGCACCACCAATATTGCCACAACCGCCATCGTGCCAAATTCTGAATCTACAATTCACACCACCACGTTGGTCACAGTAAAAAAACACACATTCCAAATGAAATCAGCAGCTCACAGTGTCACGCCATGCACTCAGCTCAGAAGCTGGGCAATAAAACTATATCCTTTCATCTATAAATGGAGCAAAAATGCAACGGCCACCGTATGGTAGAAGAATAAATTTGCCACCTCTCAAAACAGTGGCCGTGCTTAGCGTCCATTTTGACTGGAAGTCTCCATCCTCTCCATCTGCATGTGGCTGAAAGTCAGAATCGCCATCGCACACTCAAAGAGAGAAAGGACCAGACCCGCATACAAAAGACATCAATGACGATGCTCACAGTTTGCTGCAGCCGTCATTCTCATCGCAGCCAAGCCCCGCTTTTATTATCACCTTGTCTATGTACCCAGAATAGGGCAAGTTGCGATTAAATCGTATCCCCAGGTACCTCATTGCCTTCCACAATCTCTGAGAATAGACTTACAATTGGTTTTGGGATGTTGACAATATGGTTATCCAAAGAGAACAACGTAACAGCTGCCTTCGTTGGATTGAATGCACTGTCTTCACTCCACCAGTTGCTAAATGCGGTTGAGTTCTGTCTGTAGTTCTCCAGCAACCTGCTCTCTGTCTCTACTTTGCCGATACACTAACACATCGTCAGTGTACGACAGCGTCTGTACCAACACATCGTCAGTGTACGACAGCGTCTGTACCAACACATCGTCAGTGTGCGACAGCGTCTGTACCAACACATCGTCAGTGTGCGACAGCGTCTGTACCAACACATCGTCAGTGTGCGACAGCGTCTGTACCAACACATCATCAGTGTACGACAGCGTCTGTACCAACACATCGTCAGTGTGCGACAGCGTCTGTACCAACACATCATCAGTGTACGACAGCGTCTGTACCAACACATCATCAGTGTACGACAGCGTCTTTCCCTGTCCTGTGATCTGCTCACTTGTCTGTGATAAAACCTTTCACTCCCCCCCCCCCCCCTCCCTTTTCCTTCCCACTCCCAACTTAATGTGAGCAAGTTTTGGTCAGCCATAATTTAAAATGTATTTGATTTCATGTGTGAGAATTAGGCGGGCACTTCACACATTTGCGTTCTCCCCTCCATCCCCCTCCCCCACGCACACACCATATACATGTTCTTTTTAACAAAAACACACATAGCGTTCTTACAGTCATCTAACCAACACACACACACACACACACCACACCCACACACACACATACACACACACACGGCATCCCTTTGTTCACACATCCACCCATTGTGTTCTTGTCCTCACACACCCACACATTGTTTCTTTGTCCTCACACACCCACACATTATGTTCTTGTCCTCACACACCCACACATTATGTTCTTGTCCTCACACACCCACACATTATGTTCTTGTCCTCACACATCCACCCATTGTGTTCTTGTCCTCACACACCCACACATTGTTTCTTTGTCCTCACACATCCACACATTATGTTCTTGTCCTTACACATCCACCCATTGTGTTCTTGTCCTCAACACCCACACATTGTGTCTTTGTCCTCACACACCCACACATTATGTTCTTGTCCTCACACACCCAGACATTATGTTCTTGTCCTCACACACCCACACATTATGTTCTTGTCCTAACACACCCACACATTATATTTTTTTCTCTTTACAAACCCACATCGTGTATTCTTGTCCTCACACACCCACACATTATGTTCTTGTCCTCGTAACCCACACATTGTGTTCGCGTTCTCACCCACCCACACATTATGTTCTTGTCCTCGTAACCCACACATTGTGTTCGTGTTCTCACACACCCACACATTATGTTCTTGTCCTCGTAACCCACACATTGTGTTCGTGTTCTCACATACCCACACATTATGTTCTTGTCCTCGTAACCCACACATTGTGTTCGTGTTCTCACCCACCCACACATTATGTTCTTGTCCTCGTAACCCACACATTGTGTTCGTGTTCTCACACACCCACACATTATGCTCTTGTCCTCGTAACCCACACATTGTGTTCTCACACACCCACACATTATGCTCTTGTCCTCGTAACCCACACATTGTGTTTGTGTTCTCACACACCCACACATTATGCTCTTTTTCTCGTAACCCACACATTGTGTTCGTGTTCTCACATACCCACACATTATGTTCTTGTCCTCGTAACCCACACATTGTGTTCGCGTTCTCACACACCCACACATTCTGCTCTTGTCCTCGTAACCCACACATTGTGTTCGCGTTCTCACAAACCCACACATTGTGCTCTTGTCCTTGCACACCCACACATTATTTATTATGATCAATTGAGGTTATTCCTGTCTTGGCCGAGCACTAATCAAGTCTGTGAGAAACCAGTGACTGCTGAAGGAAACTATAATAAATCACTCAAGGTATGGTTCTCTATAGCCCTGTCTCTTTATTGTGGGAAAACGCATGATGATGATGTTCAATTGGTGATGTCAGATGAACAAATAGTCTCTCGGCCGCTCTTGTTTAACTAATAGATAACTAGCTCAATGAATACTGGCACACAGTGCGAACAGTTCTCAATCAACCATTTGGAGATTGTAACCAACAAGGGTCTCGCCTGAAACACAAGTACGATCAAGTATGCTCTGCTAGCACAACACACCGGCACACAGTGCGAACAGTTCTCAACCATATGGAGACTGTAACCAACAAGGGTCTCACCTGAAACACAAGTACGATCAAGTATGCTCTACTACTGTGGAACCAAGTCCGAACAGTTCTCCCCAGTATCCACAACTTAACATAACACAATACATATTTGCACTCTATGTCCTGATAACTGCCACAGGCACCTGTTGCCCGTCACACAGAATCCGTCTTTCACCCATAGCCGTTACCATCCTCTGGTCACTTTTTAATCCAGAGAGAGCGACCTCTGAGGTTAAAAGTTAGTTGCACCAAAACTAGTGAATCAAATCGAGAAACGTCTCGCACCTTGTCACACTTGGAAGTATCATCTGACACCTCGCCATGACCAGCTCTCATTGGTTTCAGAACGCAGTTATCGCAAGCCAACCTGCGTGACGACACATCGATGCCAGACAGGGACCAGCACTTACTCCGTCCTCCGACGAATATCTACACAAAACATTTTTAACTTCATTTATAATTCACTAAATTCAGATAAACTGCACAGACGCTCCAACAGAATAAAAAGAAAGATTAAAACTGGCACATGACACGAACAAGTGTACAAACTCATTCACTGACTGAAGGCTACCGAATCAACCTATGTATTATATTTAAAATTGTGAAAAGTTGTAAACATTAAAAAAATGTCAAACATTAATAACTTTTTTTAAAATCAAAAAGTTTAAAAATAAAAAAAAAAAATATAAAAAAAAATAAAAAAGACCGTTTGAAAATTAAAAAAAAAATAAAATGTTAACAAGTTTTAAAGTTGTTAACACTAACAGTTTTCAAAAATTAAAAAAAAATTTTGTTAGTTACAAAGTTAAATAAAAGTTTCAAACATTTTAAGTAATTAAAATATTTTTTTAGATTGCAAAAAAAAAAAAAAAAGAGACTTCCAACAACTTTAAGCATATCAAAAAGTGCCCAAGTATATCTTGATATTAATATATAAACAGTTGCAACTAACCAAAAAACAAAAACTGTCGCTTTACAATGAATATTGCAAGCAACACTTGCCTGCTACATAGAACACTGAACACAATACGCACACCGCAGACGCCTGTATATAAAATACGTACAATACAGAAACCACGCAGCCTTGTATACATACCCACTTTAACATACAATAAAATTGATTAAAAACTATAAAAAAAAAAAAAAAAAGTGGTATATTGTAACAAAATGTGCTCCATTTAAATACGTGTTTGGCGAACTAAGAAACGGCACCACAATGCCGAACAGGAACTCAACTGTCCTTTCAGTAAGACTTGCTTGAACAGACTGCCTTCCAACCTGGTTTGAAGGTTAAGTCGTGTGTCCACAAACTACTAAATAAGTAAAATACTTCTAAATCGTCCTACTACACACCTTGATAGAAGCCTGCTACCCGACAGCCAATGCGGATTCCGGAAAGAGCGCAGAACCATAGACATTGTGTTTGCCGAACAGAAGTACAAGAAAAATGTCAGGAACAGCATTGTGATATGCTCACAGCTTTCGTTGACCTCACAGGGGCGTTTGACTCAGTCAACAGAGAGGGTCTTTGAAAGATCATAGCAAAATATGGCAAAATAAGGAAATTTATCCTTACTATACAGCAACTGCATGATAGAATGAGGGCCAGAATCCTGGAAACATGGAGAATGTTCTGAACCTTTCCATGTCACAAATGGTGTCAAACAAGGATGTGCACTCGCACCTACACTATACAGTACCATGTTCTAAACTGTAATGTTTGATGCTTCTCGAGATCGAGATAGAAGAATTGATATTTACTATTACATCGATGGAAAACATGTCAATCTTAGGCGGCTGAAAGCGAAAGCCAAACTCAAATAATGTATTATTAGGGATCTTATGTTTGCTGACGACTGTGCTCCGATTGCTTGTTCAGAAGCAGATCTGCAGCATAACATGGACAGATTCTTCGAAGACTACCAATTTTGGGCTTACCATTAACACTCAGAAAACTTAAATTACTAACCAGCACCAGGCAAAGTGTATACTGAACCAATAACTCTGGTAAATGGCAAGCTGTTAAAGGTTGTGGATAGATTCACATACCTTGGTAGTGCATTGTCTCAGAATATTACTGTCGACGATGAGGTGGCTTCTCTGAAGCCAGCTTCACATTTGGTAGGCTATATACAAATGTCTGGCATCGTAGTGGCATCAGTCTGCTAACCAGACTGAAGGTTTTATAGAGCTGCAGTGCTTCCAGTGCTACTGTATGCTTGTAAAACTTGGACTGTACACAGATGACAGGCAAAAAAATGCCACCACTTCCACACAGTCTGTCTGAGAAAGATTCTGAATATTAAGTAGCAAGACATTGTCCCGGACACTGACGTACTGGACCAGGTTGGCATCAAAACCATCCTGATGCAGCCACAGATTCGACGGGCTGGCCATATTGTTCGAATGTCTGACCATCGGCTCCTACAAATAATCTTCTATGGGGAGAGACGTTCTCATGGGGGCCAGAAAAAGCGCTTCAAGGACACACTAAAGACATCATTGAAATCCTTCAGTATGAACCCTGACACCCGGGAGGCTGCAGCACAAGACGGGACTTTATGGCGCACATATATCCGAAATAGTGCAACGATTTGCGAGGTATCTAGAACAAAGGAAGCTGAACAGCGAAGACATGTCAGAAAGAACTGTCAAACAGGCCGTCTGTCTACAAACAGTATGCCTTTCCCTCATTGTCCTAGACTATTCCGGGCACTATTTGACTTATAAGTCAACTCCGGACTCAAAAACATTCAACTGCAGGATCTTGTGATGGACAAACGAACAGAACAGAACGTGTGTCCAAGACTCAGATCCGGTTACATGTTAATTCAGAGAAATACGTCAATTTGAAATTAAGTCACATTCAGCGGGTCTCCGGGGATTTGCCCGTGACTGGTCTACTGAAGCATAAACCCGATACAAAGACCCTAGACGCATGAACAAAAGTATGTCTACACTGGAAGTAAATTAACGACAAACAAACCACCCTCTTCGACCTAATTTCATAAACCGTCACACCCCACCCCTAGACAGAAAATGCAGACACGAAAGTCAAGCCGGTGTGGAGGCAGAAGTGCAGGCTTCGATTTTTGAGAATTCTCTACAGGGGGGTGGAAATCTACTCCTTGAAATCTCCTCAATTCCGAACCTACAAGAGATCTAACAATGTCACGTGGCGAGTGGGAACCAAAACTCAACCTAAGCTGCCTCAGTAACAAGAAAGAAAAAGAGAGAGAGAGAGAGAAAGTTCGTTTAGGCGGGGTGGGGGGGGGTGAAAATAGGGGGGGGGTGAGATAAAAAATATTTCACTCTGACAGGAAATCTTCTGTATGAGGTCCAATATAGT